GAAGTACTTTCTTCTGCTCAGGTATTTGGCTTTCTTGTCCTGGAAATGTTGTTATGGGGTTCTGTATAAATGCATGTCCGTGAACACAAAAACAACAGTTTTTCTATGACAAAACTTAGGCCTCTTTCTTCCTAATCACAAATTCAAAGGACCATATTTTTAGGAATCTGTTCCTTGTTTTAAATGTACATAAGGGTGGGCATGCACTCATACATAGTGGGGCTCATCCAAATATTTTATTAACTGGCACCACTCCATGTGAGTATACATTCACCCTTATGTACACTTTAGTTATGTGAAGTAGCAAATTTCATTTTATATGTCTATTTTTATCAGAACAGTGGAGGTTGTGCTAATGTCGGGACATGCTTGCTTTATTTTTTGTGTTCGTCTCCTGGAAAAATGATTGCTGATGATTGATGGATGTTGCTCGAGGGCTTTCAATACAAGAGGTCATTGGAGATGTGCTAAAAGCCCACTGGGATCACAAGAGAACGAATTTTCAGTTGCCACCAATGATGTCACTGGTGAGTCTGATAAAGCATAACCGATTTGATGATAGTCTAATCAAATGCTTTTATCTTAGTTTCGAAATGTTTCAGTTACATCCGGTCCAATCTTCATTAACTAATGTCCTATGCTGAGGTTCTTCGTATTTGAAATTCCAGCCAAGGGTCTCAGTAATATTTTGATATGAATCTATAAAATCATGATTTTGGGCAGTGTGCCATGAACACAGAAATGTGTGCATTGAATATATTCCTGCCTTTCTCTCCATTAGGGTACCAGACTTTCTTAAATAATAGGGCCTTATTCAAGATCTTCTGAAACAATAAAGTCTCAAGCCTCTGTCCGATCAGACACAATCAGGTTGTAATTAATCCAGAAGTGATGAGTTTCCTTTTCTTGATAAACCGAGTAATTCTGTAATAAATATTATCCAATGTCGAGGCATATTTATCCCATTATAACTTTCACGATCCCATTTCTGTATTATATGTTAAGAGTTTCCCGCTCTTGTTCCCATCTTAGAAAAGTGCAGAAAAGAAAGGTTGGTGCTGTTAAGAAGTGGCAAAAATCTGATCCTCAAGGCTCGTTCGAAACATGGAAGAAGTTGTCGGAAGCAAATTCAGCACTTGAAATGCACCTCAACAACTTAAGCCAATTTTCAGAAACAAATTCTGATGCTTATAGAATAACCATTGACAAATGCAGCAAACTTACGTCTGAAAAGGTAAGCCAAAATTTGTTCCACCCATATATCCTTGTCGTATGTGATTATAAGTTTTACAACTCTATCAAATGAGTTCTCTAATTACATTTTTTAACAGTGGGCAGAGGGAGCTGTGGGGCCATACCAAATAGAAGTGATTAAAGCACTCTTAGGAGCTAGATATTCCATGTTGTCAATCCGGACTACTATGCGCAAGATGGGCGAGGCTGCCGAAATTCCCGTAAGTTCTTTTTGATTAATCTCAAAGCGTGTTTCGCACTTGATTTGTGTGTATCTACGTGCGTCCAATAAACTAGTATCAGAAATAACTAATTAAAATGAGAATTTTGTAACCTCTGCATGTATTTATTCCATAAAACTACTTGTGATTCTAAATTGATGTTCTTAGGGACATGACTGATTGATATTCTCAAGCAAGAAATTTAGGGCGTGCTAGTGTACAAATATATCCGCTCAAAATGACTTTTCTTGTTAACCAGATTTAATTTTGAAAAAAATATATGGTTAGTTGTTAGTGTTATTTTATACTAAAATAATACTTAAAATAAAACAATAAAAATTGATTTGATGTAAAAGTAAGAGAGGGATGATGTGAAGTGATGGTTAGTTAAAATTATGTGAGTGGATGAATAGTGAATCAAAATGGATGTGATGTATAAGAATTGCTTGTTTGGTACTATTTAATTATAATAATAATATTGAAGATAGTGAAGTTGGGGTAGAGTTAGAGTTGAATTTTGAGTATGAATTGGATAAATTTATAAACAAACACACCCTTTAAGAGGATTGGTCGACTGTCTTTTTTTCTCCGTAGATGAAACCTTTTTACCTTGAGCAAAATTCTGGACTCTCCTTTGCAGTTAGCATTTGATTTCTTACAGTTCTTGTTTCTATTTTTGCTGTATTTATTAACTTTAAACCGTCAACAATTTCACTGTTGCCTTATCTTTTTCAATTTTGACTCTTCAGAAAAGTGTAAGTACCGTTAATCAACTCATTCATTTTGCAATATTTTAACATAATAATTTTAATAATTTTGTATAGTTCAAGAACCAAACTACAATACCTATTTAAGCCCATTCATTATTTCCTTTTTTTTTTGTGGTTTTTTTTTCTTGATCATGCATACCCTTTTTGCAGATAGAGCCCGAATCACAAACCAGTCTGCTAGATACCACGATGAATACAAAAGGAGTTCTATTGGCTGGTATTCCTGGTGCAGGTGGATTTGACGCGGTGTTTGCCATTACCTTGGGAGCTTCAAGCAGCAATGTCGTGAAGGTCTGGAGTTCGCTCAATGTTCTGGCCTTGCTAGTGAGAGAAAATCCACGTGGCGTTCATCTAGAGGCCAACGATCCACGAACTACCAAGATTACTAACTCGGTTTCTAACATTCATATTGGGTAAGCTCGTAGTTTATGCTGCTACTTGTGTTTTAGAAATTGAATTTGAATAAAATAATTGTATTTTTCTGACACATTCAGATAAAAAAAAAAAGTTTGTGAGTGATGTTTACTAAAAGGAAACTATTTACTAAAAATAAGGAAATAAAATTGGCCTGTTGTATTTTCTTTTTGAAATGCTTTGGCAATCTAGGCATGGAATGGTGTTGGAGCTGAAAGGTATTCAGGAGTTTTTGTTCATGGATCAGTATTCTTCAATTTGGTATCTATGTTTTACTTGTTTTATTTACTGCTTATTTTCAAGACCTTGAATTGTACCTTGGATTTCTTGGGGTTCCTTTTTATGTTGGTACAAATTCCAAATGGGACTTGCTTTTAGAAAATAATAAGCTGATTGTTAGTCGGACCCGACGATTGTCGATAGGCAATCTTCATATAGTTTCATGTTGAAGTGAATACCCAACGACCAACGGTTGTGTGATACACAATCTTACTTTTGCAACAGATTCGTATATTTTCATATTGAAATGTTTTTTTTTTTATAATAACATTGCACAATGTGTGATTGCATTTTTTCATGTTGAAATATATATTTTTTTTATTAAATAACATTAACCAAATATGACATTTATGAAATAAATTGACCTTTTATTCAAAAAAATTGTAAGTGTGCGGTCTAAAGATTGTGTAGTCTAACAAGGCTTGTATTTAAGAAACACTTTCATGAATTGGAATTTTTATCAGCTCTGATTGAAAGTCTAAAACTTGTTTGAATTATTGAGTGTCCAGCTTGGCAACTCAAAGGATGAGTCATATATGCATGTTGTATTTATATAAATCGTCATAAATATTTACCACGTAAATATATAAACATTACTTTATCTAAATTAAAAAAATATTCTTTGTATATATGTGTTCGGGTCAAACGGGATGACCAGACGGAGTCAATTTCTGGGCCTACCGGGTTGCTTTTTAACCAATCTGAAAGGCCCCACCCGTGCCGGGTCCACCTCTGGCTAGATTATTGCCGGTCGGTCTAAGTAAAAATACACTAATTTTTAGCAAAAAAATAGATACAAAAAATATCAATGATGCCAAAGTTTCACAGAAGGTAACACTATAAAATTATTATTTATAGATTTTGAATGTGATGTGATGTGGAAAATAGCAAATTTATATATATAAGTTATATCAAATTTTATGTTATTTTGTTTGCTACTGTAACATGACCGTTTTCTATTTTCACAGTGACATAGTTTGGTAGCAGTTGTCCACCAAAAATTTGGACACAAATAACCAATCCATTTATTTCAACTGCAGTTGTTTCAATAGTTAGCAAAAGCACAAAATTGACAGGGAAAATTAGGTGAAATTTCCACCATTTATATGCCATTGGTTTCAAGAATTTTTAAATTTTGTTGGTAGTTAATATTTATCTTATTGAAATTGAAAATAAAAAGTAATTTATTTTTTTAAATACTATTCATTTCATTTCATTTTTTTTTTCTATACAAATCCCACTAACCCAATTAAGAAATATAAAATAATAATTATATACACATTTCTAATAAAATATACTATTCGTCCATTCACACATTTCTAAATCCATCGATTTTATTATTTTTATATCATATCAATTCTCGTTATTACATTTTTATCTTGTATATATTCACAATATCAAAATTATCTTTCTTTTTTCCTATTTTACTTTTTCGTCTCACTTTTTTCCGGATGCGAATTTTTTCCGGAGAACATCGTTGTGTTCTATTATGAAAAAATAAATAAATAAATAAATAAAATAAGGTTCTCATGTTAAATGTAGAATGAGATGCTGAGAGCATGATTGGATACAAAATTTTTCAAAAAAATCTAAACATTTTTAACTCAACCATTTTTTTAACTCAACTCTACTATCATCAATATTATCAATATAATTATCAATCAATCATTCATAGACAGCACATCAACCTTCAATCACTATTCATTTACTCACATTATTTTAACTAACCATCACTTCAAGTTTTCTATTTTACATCAAATCAACTTTAATCATTTTATTTTAAATAATATTTTAATATACCCACTAACAGCTAATCATACTAACTTTTTCAAAAATAACCAAACCAAACAAAAAAATCAAAACGAAACCAAAATTTTTTATATCCAATCAGACTGTTTCATTCTATATACCAATAAATTGTGCTAATCCAATTCATTTTTCAACTCTCAATTTTTTTTTTTTTTATAAACACCCGTGGATGAAAGAACAAAAAAGATATTATGGGCGTGATAAGCCTTTAAATCAATGGCAATAATTGCTTTTTATAAAGGCTGTCTATTGTATAAGGTGAGGCTTTAATTATGTGATTCTAAACATGTTTTACCCACATAACTTTTTATCTAACTTTTTTCCTTTGACATTGGAGCATAAATTTACTATACATACAGTGTAGGGTTATTGCTCCCCTATTCACCGTGCGCACATATTAATATGCTCACCGTGGGTAGGGGTACATTACTGTACAGGGTAATGCGTACCTTATATTTATTTATTGTATTCAATAGGTATATGAATGTATAGATTTGTAACTGTTCATTAAGGCCTCATTTACTTTGAGTGACAGGATAAGACAAATTAATCTGAATAACTTTACACGTCATTGAGGGATGGAATTTTAAAAAACGGATCCCTCATTTACTTCACAGGATTTGGTGAGATAATAAAACAGCAAAAGACCAATTTACCCTCATGTAGCCTTTACACTTTTCTTCTCCCCAGTACCATTTCTCTCCTTTTTTCTGTACATAGTAGAGCCCTAATTCTGACGACAAGCCGCGCCGACTGGAATTCAGACGTGCACGACATCCGACGTCGATAGACGGGTGTGGAAAATATATTCGTGCACGACATTCGTTTACCTCCACCCAAAACCGAACCCAACGATTCCTCCGCA